CGCCTTTTGGCCTGCTGGCCCGCTGTTGGGCGTCAGCCCCTTAAATCGGGCCAGCAGGCCCTGTCGATGGGCAAAGCCCCCGGCCGAAGGCCGTAGCTTTAGCTATACGGCTGCCCGCGCCTGCCGCCGACCATGATCCGACCCCGAGAACCTCGTAATTTACAATGTTTTTTGCTCTTCGAAAAAACAACATAAATCGGAAAAAAAAATTGGGGGATACCCCCCTTGCCCCAACATAGCCCCAAGATGGCCCAAGATGAGCCCAAGATGGCCCAACATAGGCCCAACATGGCTCCAAGATGCCCCAAGATGGCCCCAAGATGGCCCAACATAGGCCCAAGATGGCCCAACATAGGCCCAAGATGGCCCAACATAGGCCCAACATAGGCCCCAAGATGGCTCAACGTACCTCCAAGATGGCCCAACATAGCCCCGAGATGGCCCAACTTAGCTCCAAATTGTGATGCAACAGGCAACACCATCAACCACATCCAAAACATCAACAACATCAACGACCTCAACAACGTAAACACATAAAGAACATACACAACATAAACAGCATACACAACATAAACAACATAAACAACATACACAACATAAACAACAGTAAAAAACAACAACAACAACAACAACAACAACAACAACAACAACAACAACAACAACAACAACAACAACAACAACAACAACAACAAACACCAAAAACCAAAAACCAAAAACCACAACAACAACAACAGCAACAGCAACAGCAACAACAACAACAACACCAACAACACCAACACAACAACAACAACAACAACAACAACAAAACAACAACAACAACAACAACAACAACACCAACAGCAACAGCAACAGCAACAGCAGCAACAGCAACAGCAACAGCAACAACAACAACAGCAACAACAACAGCAACAACAACCAGAACAACAAGAACAACAAGAACAACAAGAACAACAACAACAACGACGACAACAACAAAAACCACAACCACAGCCACATCCACAACCACAACCACAGCAGCAACAACCACAACAGTTCTTGTTCTTGTTCGTGTTGTTGTTTTTGTTGTTGTTGTCGTTATTGTTGTTGTTGTCGTCGTTGTTGCTGTTGTTGTTGTGGTTGTTGTTGCTATTGCTGTTGTTGTTGTTGTTGCTGTGTTTCTTGTTGTGGTTGTGGTTGTAGTAGTCATCGTAGTAGTCGTCGTCGTCGTCGTAGTTGTCGTAGTTGTCGTAGTCGTCGTAGTAGTCGTAGTAGTCGTCGTAGTAGTAGTAGTAGTAGTTGCTGTTGTTGTTGTCGTTGTTGTTGCTGTTGTTGTCCTTGTCCTTATCGCTATCGTTGTCCTTGCCGTTGTCGTTGTCGTTGTCGTTATCATTATCGTTGTCCTTGTCGTTGCTGTTGTTGTCGTTGTCCTTATCGCTATCATTGTCGTTGTCGTTGTGGTCGTGGTTGTTGTTGTTGCTGTTGTTGTCGTTGTCCTTATCGCTATCATTGTCGTTGTCGTTGTGGTCGTGGTCGTGGTTGTTGTTGTTGTTGTGGTTTTTGTTGTTGTTCATTTTGAGGCTGATGATCATGCTGATGATGATGATGATGATGATCATGATGGTGATGATGATGATGATGATCATGATGGTGATGATGATGATGATGATGGTGGTTGTGATGGTTGTGATGATGATGGTGGTGATGATGATGATGCTGCTGATGATGATGATGTTGCTGATGATGCTGATCCCGCCCTGCACCTTTTGGCCTGCTGGCCCGCTGTTGGGCGTCAGCCCCTTAAATCCGGCCAGCCGTGGCATTGCCGTAGGCGTTTCTCTCCTCTCCGTAGGAGCGCCGACCTTTCGGTCCGGCTATAAAGTCCCGCGTTTTACGGTGTTTTGTGCTCTTCCCTTTTTTCGGAGCTTGTGGCTCAAGATGGGTCAACATCGGCCAACATAGGCCTCAAGACGGGCCAACGTAGGCTTCACGATGGGCCAACATAGCCCCGATGGGCCAACATAGCCCCAAGATGGGCCAACATAGCTCCAAGATGGGCCAACATAGCCCCAAGATGGGCCAACATAGCTCCAAGATGGGCCCACATTGCCCTCAAGATGGCCAACATAGCCCCAAGATGGGCCAACATAGCCCCAAGATAGGCCGCCGACCATCAAAATATCCTGCGTTTTACAATGTTTTTTTTGCTGTTCCCATTTTTCGGATCTTTTGGCTCAACATGGGTCAACATGAGGCCAACATAGGCCAACATAGCCACAAGATGGGCCCACATTGCCCGCAAGATAGGCCAACATACGCCAACATAGGCCAACATAGCCACAAACTGGGCCAACATAGTTGGGCCCCTGGCCGGCTGTCGCGCGTAAGCGCTTAAATCCGGCGATGCCTCGCCGTTTGGTGGTGTTGCTAAGCGTATAGCTTTAGCTACCCGGGGGCGCGCCCCTGCCGCCGACCTTTCCGAAAATCCTTCAGGGTGCTGGGGTTTTCACGTTTTTGGGGGTTCGGGGTGGGAAAAAAGAGGGTAAAATTTCAAGATGCGTTTTGGAGGTCCTTGTTGGGCGTTTTTTGGTGGATTTTTGGTGGATTTTTCATGTTTTTTTGGTGCTGTCCACGCGTAAAAATCGTGTAATTTACAATGTTTTTGTGCCTTTGGCATCCAAAAAAAACTTCTGACAACATGCTGGAAACTGCGTAAATACCAGTGTTTTTGCTAGGCCTGGGCCACAAAACACTGTAAATACCGTGATTTTTGCTAGCAGAGGCTCAAAACCCCGTAAATACCGTGGTTTTGACCAACTACAAAGATAACAACGACAACGACAACAGGACCAAGCAGCAACAGCAACAACAGCAATAACAACAACAACAACAACAACGACGACGACGACGACGACGACGCCGACGCCGACGACGACGAAGACGACGACAACAACGACAACGACGACAACGACGACAATGGCGACAACGAATCTCCCTCTCTCTTTCCCTCCCCCGACCCCTTCAGGCATCGCCGGTGTGCGAAGCGCTACAATATACTTTTAGGTGTTCTTATTGATCAAATATAGTCTGCAGTGCAGAATCAAATAGAATCAAGCAATTATTGGAAAATTGCAGTAACCAAAAGCAGAATTGTTGCCCATTAAGAATACTATTTGTGGGCCAGTTTTTCGCCGTCTCTTGGTGCTCCAGCTGGTGCCATGGCTTCTCCAATGATGGCCATCTACACACGGGGCGCCCTCCATAGTGACGTCTGGAGGCGTCGCGAATCAAGCGGAGTTTTTAGTGAGATGTTTCTGTAGAGAACGCGACTCATTTTTAGGGGCTGGGTTGATAGCTTTCATACATGATATCTTGTGAGAATCTAGTGATACAGTTTGTTAACTATCGTTTAAGCATAGTACAATCGTTAACCATGGTTGACCATACTACAGTTTGCATTATGGTTAACTATCGTTGTACATGGATAGCCCCTCAGACTTTCAGCGAAAAACTGTGAGTTCCAAGGTTTCAAGATGTTTCGCTTGGCAGCAGTCGGAGACACTTCTGATCGCACTGAAGCCAGGCCAACATGATCGCTGTTTCCACCTCTCCCATATCCATAATTCATCCATTATCATCCATTATCATCCCGGATTATCCCATGTCCAAAATCCAAAACGCGAGTTGCACATCCCAACTGAATCCCAACTTCCAGCTCGAATCTGCGAATCCCAACTCGCAATAAAAGCTCTCCCGATCCGACGATCCGATCCCCTGGCTAAATGTTGGTGGTTTTTGATGCCGCAACAGATCAAATTGACCTATGGCAGTTCAAAATTTGCCCTCCAGAGTCCACTGAGATGTCGCGATACCAAGCGCACCGCTGTCTCAGTGTGTCCCTCCGAGGGGTGAAACTCACTACATCGAGAAACGTGCCGTCGTGCCGACGTGCCGCGCGCACTGCGGACCTGTATAACCCCGCGACGCGGCACAGCGCCCGTAAAACCAGGAGCGCATTGGTTGGTCCAAGTCAGACTTACTCGCCAATTTGGCCAGCTGCGGATCAAAAATGGGCGAATTTGCAAAATGGAGAGGACAGAATCTCCCCTTTTTGGACTGCTACACACTTTTCACACCCCCAAACTTTCAAGCAAAGTAAACCTAACATGACTTTCATGACTTTCATGGTTACTCATTTTTGGAGGCACTGCTGTTGTTCCCATTCCAAATGAACATCCAGCGTTCTGCTGATGGGGTGAAAGGCGCAAGAGAATCCAGTCATTGCGACTTCCAGCCAGCCATTTATCAGTGGCCAAAACCCGAAGGACCCAGCTGGACACCTGGTGATAGCTGCTGAGCCCCGTGCATCACAGGTCGTGACACATTTTTGATGATCTTTGGCCCAACAAAAAAATTGTGGGTTTTGGGCCACTGCTCAGGCTGTCGGTCAAGAGTCAAAACCCAGAGGTTTGACTTCTGCATACTTCTGCCGTTTTGTTTGGTGTTTTTGAACGACCCAAAAACACCAACTACTTGATCACTCAAACTCCAGATGTTTCATCATGCTACTAGGTCAATGCTCGCTTTTCTTGAATCTGGATGTTTTCCATGTTAAAAAATCATCCTGATTGACTTACATCAACATCAACTTTACCTCAACTTGTAATCTTACATGTACATTAATACATGCAACAGCTATCATTAATATGTGATGTGATATACCTATCATTAATGGGACCCATATCCAGATAACTCCTGAGGAGACCGTCTGCTATAGGGCTTGCGACTCTGCGGAAACCCGAGTAGCGGGAGTTTACGCAGAGTGCACGTCGCACGCCCTTTCTGAAAAACTCAACATGCCTAGAGTCAGCATCTAGGACCTATTCAGTGGAAAACTCCAGTAGAGATACAGGGATGATGCAGGGATGAATATATAAATATATGAGAAGGGTGAATTTTGACGATTATATATGATAAATATATAAATATATAAATATTTATAATTATCCTATGTTTTGATTCACGTTCATGTTCACAGGATCTGTACTGGAATTTCCCGTTCGGATCTATATGGGAATTTCTAAGTTTCTCTAAGAAGCAATTCTTTGCGCTCACATAACGCCCTCGCTTCAGGAACGTACCTGTTCTTCCGGGGAGAATCTGACCAATCTGACCCCTGATGGCAGCTGTTTCACCAGCTGTTTCACCACACCCAGCGCACGTGAATCCCTGGATGTGAAGCCCTATGGAGGCAACTTCAGGAGAGCTCGGCCTGGAAAGGGTGATGGATGGGTTGCGGATGTCGGATTTTTGGGCAACTATCAGATGATGCGTGATTTTTTCATGGCATGATAATGGCATCAGTGGTCGTTGTATCAGCTATATTCAGCTATCTCTGCTGAAAGGGGTATATTATATACTGTACTCTTTTCAGCTCTTTCTTTATGCTCTTTTTGGAGGCAGTGATCGGGATAAAAATAGGAGCACCGCACAGATTTTGGCTTAACACTCCACTGGGCCACTGGGCCAGGAGGTGTGTTAGATGATCATGGTTCTTCAGTTCTTAAAGGTGCTCGATGACGGGTATGAAATAGATTAACACAGCCAAATCATGGTTTCTCGCTGATAAACACCAACTCCAATTTTCATATTAAGCACTGACCTCCCTGCAGTTTCCACTCTTTTCCCACCAAAATTGGTGCTCGGAGTGAGGCGCATAAACATTTCTGCCCTGCCCATCACTTGGTCCGCTTCGACCTTAATCTCGGGGAACAGCATTTCCGAGTCATGGACGGCCTGAAGCGTTCGGGTCAACAGAATCAGACATCAACTGGTTGGTGGTTTTGAGCAACCTACCCCTCTGAAAAATGATGAAGTGAAAGTCAGTTGGGATGATGAAATAAATTCCCAATGATGGGAAAGTCATCATCCATTCCATGGTTCCAGTCACCACCAAGCAGTCAATGTTACAGTGTTCTTTCTGATTTGATTCCCATGGCTGTTTCTCACCTGGTGCTACCTCCATCCTTGGAGCATCGACTGAACCCTGGCATCACCCTGATGTTTTCCGCCTGAAAGGGGGTTGTAGCCCCAGTTTCAACGCCATATCCCAGTCGATCGTTGAAAGCCATCTGGAGGCCTGGCGGGACTTTGGCTGGAGGTATCCTTGACCAACATCTCAACATCTCAACATCAATGTTTCACTGTTTCCCCTGGAGAAATCCTTTTCAGAAATGCACCAGAGGTGGATTTTCAAAAGCTGAAAATCTCTGGTGACCCAGAGGTGACCCTGGGATGGGCTCTCGGATCGCACCTTAACCTCCACTGCAGATTTCAATCTCATGTCGAGATCGGGAGTCAGCAGTTGTCGGATGAGGCTTGAAGCCTCTTCTGAATGGACCTTCGGTGGTCCCATCGAGAACTCTTCTGCTATGATTTTCAGTGGTTACACATGGTGAAACGGCTGTCAACATGGTGAAAAACATGAATTGGCAGCAAATTTCACACACCTCAACCAGCTCCTAAAGCCGCTCAGCCCATTTTTCCCAGTTGGTCATCCCAGGGGGGTTGAGGCCAGTGCAAACTCAAAGCGAAACTTGCCATCCATGATGAGTTGAAAGAGCCTGGCTGTGCCAGAGCTGTCGCTGTGGCTGTCATGCAATAAACATGGGAACAAGAACTGAATGGTTACAGTTCCACATATTCATACATATTCCATGTTAATTTTAATGGGATTTCAATGGGATCTTAATGGGATTTTAATGGGATTTTATAAACATTTATAAACCCTCCATCCTGCTATTGGGGTCCCATGGAATGTCCCATTCCATTTGAATAGAATTTCACCAGCTATTGGCACCTTCCTTTTACACAGAAATATATTCATGAAAATATGATGATGGATGATGATGGTGAATACATTTTTACACATAAATTTCATAAATCAGCTATTGGACCTTCCATGACCTTCCATGGAAAGTCCCACCTTCCTAGCACCGCGCCGCCTAGCGCCGTGACGCGCGGCCAAGCTACCGCGCCTGCTTTCATTTGGATCTCGAAATGGCGGTCGACCCTCAAGCATTTCAAACATCAGCACGCCGCAGGACCACCTCAGCTGACGTCCAAAAAACCGTGACACCGTGGTGGATGGCCATGAAACCAAAGGATTTTTGCTGGGACCATAGAGAAACACATGACTGGTTGGTGGTTTTGAGCAACCTACCCCTCTGAAAAATGAAGTCAGTTGGGATGATGATATATTCCCAATATATGGAAAGTCATAATCCAAATGTTCCAGTCACCACCAACCAGATGAAAAAAGTGGTGCTGAATATTGGGATATATTGGGATGGGATGATGAACAACCCTAAATTCATCAACCATCCAGCTGGGCTTGAACATATTGATCATTGTTGATCCATGCCTCTTTGACTCAGAAATCTTAGCCGATCCATGATACATCTCCTGTTCAGCTCCGGACCAGTCCAATTCACAGGCATAGGACTGCCGTTTGAAAACCTAAAAAGGCATGTCACTCTGGGATGAATATGTAACATCCGGAACTTGCTGAACAACAAATGACAAGATATCACAAGATCAAATTCATGCTTCCAAATTCGCAGAATGATTCAGAATGTTGATCCTTCCATTTTTTTCAAAGCCACAGACATCAGAATTTCATGGGCAGGTGACCACCTCAGTCCGCGACCTCTGGCGGTAAGTACTCAGGGGTTCCACACATGGTGGAAGTGAGATTTTGGCCTAGGGGTGTCATCGTAAAATGCCATCGAGGGGAACCAAGGGAGGGGAACCAAGGACGAAATCTCTGAGGATTTCGTGCGAAAGGATAGGCTTCACCATATTTTTTTTCGGAAGATCTGTGAATCCTGACACAAAAGGTGACATTCCACAGCTAAAACTAAGGGACCGGTGCATAGATGTGCATAGCATACAGGTGACAAAATTATCATGATGAAGATGAGGACGATGAATCATGAAATCATGATGGCAAAATATAGTTAAAATATGTTAACATCTTTGCTTGTAACACAGGAACAATCTGCGTGGGCACGATGGATTATGGGGCATGGCGTTCAGCCGCCCTGCCAATTGCACACTTCGTCTTGCAACTCGCAAGTTTGGAGAGGTCTGTGTCCAACAAACAACTGTTCACTGGCTAGTTCGTGTCTGTGCGAGCAAAATGCTATAGTCAACACTGCACCAAACATTTCGAGTACCACATGATGATGGTCCGCAACATCAATGGCTGTGAAATTCCAAATGCCTTGGTGAGCATCCCAGAACACAGAACTACACTAAAGATACATCCCAAAGTCACTGGTGTATCATGATGTATCATTCATGCACCTTCAAAACATTGGCCCAATCATTGAATCTGAATTTGTCTCTTACATCTGGAAATCCATCTTTACCATATCCATACATATCCGAAAAAAACATCCTGTAATGTGGTTAAAACATGTTAAAACAATGTCATAAACTACTTTGGGAATGGTCAACATACCCTCCGGTAAACTAACAGTTTGCTATTGAACATGGCCCAGTCGAAATAGTTGATTTTCCCATTAAAAATGCTGATTTTCCAGTTCGCTGTGTAACAAATTACCAGAGGCTACCACCCGGGACCCCCACGGAGACCCATCTTAGCGAGACCGAAGTCCGTGAGCCTTGATGGGACGACATCGGAAATTGCCAGTTGGACAACGTTGGAACGTACCAGAAAGCAAGGTCTATCAGTTGGGGATATAGATGACTCATATCCCATTACCCCGTGGTATAATTATGAAGTATAATCAAATAACGTATATATTTCAATATGTTTCTATGTGTTGGATAAAGATACGTAAACTTAATCTTGTGATAAATGGATTCAAGGCAATAACCAACGCTTTTGTATGTAGCGCAGAGTCACATGACTTGCAGCGCGTGAATGGAAAAACAACAGCCAAACCATTTCTTGATTGTGAAGGAACTTTGGCAATCTAGCCGTGGCCACTATATTGCAAATCACCCATCAAGATAGGAACATCATCATTTTAGTGAGATATGATATCTTCTTCATCATTCCACCATAAGCCTTAGCAGAAACACATCTCAAGTATAACATACTCCCCTTGTTTGGTCCCATAAATGGACCCATGGGGTGGCTTTCCTGGGGCTACCCGGGTATTTTTTGTATCCAGCTACCAGGGGCTACCAGGTCCTGGACACCTCCTGGATTTTCCGCCATTTTCCGCGCACCTCACGTGGCCATCATTGTCCAGAAGGACGTTTTCGGGCCTCAGGGCGACTCATCGGATGATTGGATGGGATGAGATCGCTGCCACCTGGAAATTTGGGAGAAAATTTTATCCAAAATTCCATCCAGGAGGGAGTTTGGATTCATGTTGGATGAACCATTTTTTGGATCATTTTGTCCACCAGAAGTTTTGGATCCAGAAATCTGGTGGAAGTTCCAAAGAATCAACTTCTGAGCTCCACCGCTTTAAATCTCGATGGCAAATCCCCTTGTCGTGCAGATATTCCAAACCCAAAGACACCTGCGGTGCCAGCCAAAGGATATACCCTTGCCCTTGACATCGGAAGACCATCCAACAAAAAAAAATCCACATGGGATAGAAATGGAAGTCCGTTTTTCTTTGGAAAGCACTATTCGTGTAACCATAGTGTAACCTTTGGATCTATAATCAGAACCCGGCAGCGACGCAATTTAGGAAAATCTGGAGAGGTTTTGGTGACTACTTGATACTGGGCTGCGGATGGCAAGCACAGGACCTAAAAAATTATCAGGTACCATCCACAAAAAAAAAGGCATTGGAGGCAACCCACTATTTTTCATCGATGATCTACCTGGATCTATTGAAAATGATGCGCTTTTCCACTGCCATCCATTGCCATATTTGTTCACCAGCTAACATTCAAGTGGGATGGTTCAATACCAACAATGACCCTCTGGATCTGCGGGCCATTCAGGTGCTGTTGGAAAAAGCACCACCAGAGTCGGTGTTGAAAACTGCACTTCCATACTGCGCCTCATGCATCTGTGGCGTTTCCAGACTAAATAGAAACCGATTTGGTTGCAAACCTTATAAACCGCCGTTGGCAGAATGATGCAGTTGCAGTTGCTTGAGTTTTTTTTGAAACCCTCAGTTCGCACCATTGGGGTCTGTCCAAAAACGGTGGTATGTTCGATGAATTCCTCATGTCATGGCCATGAAAGAACGGAGGAAACGAGTTTTTAACCAGATTTTGATGGATTTTGGAGTACCCGCGTACTTCCCACGTACCCATTGGATTCTAATCTGTCTTTAGGTCCCAGGATGTCTCAGTAGCGCCTCCGCTACGAAGAACCGCGCTTGCGCTTCTGTGAAGCGTCCCAAACGCCGAATGTGTTCTAAGAGTTCGCCACCACCTCAATGGTAATTCAGCAACAAAACGGGGAATTCATCTCCAGCAAAACACTGTGAATTCCAGTTTGGCATGGCCCGCAGCTTTGGGTTTTCTGAGGGATGCACCAAAAAAGTCAGTCAGTAAATACAAACGCGAGGCCGATTGGAAAGCATACCTCCGCCAAGTAGCGAGATGCGGCTAGGGAAACACCATGAAACACCGCGACAATGGATGTAGAACACAATAATTTATATTAGTTGAGGAACTCTCTGAATTTTCCATGGATTTCCGTGATATTTTGACACCAAGCGCAACGTTTCGGAAACTTTCGGTGATTTCCAGCTTCGCTCCGCCTCAAACGAGCAACAAATGGATGATTGGCCTGTCATGGTGGACAAGAAACTGGGAAAATCCCCATGAATTATGAGAATCATTGAGAATCCCCAGTATATTGGATAGTAACTACGGATAGTATATGGTAGTATAACTCCAATCCTCAACCAACTGGGCTTGGGTAGAGCCACTGCTCACAGTGGTTCATTTCGTCTGCCCGTTTCATTTCGTGAACAGCAACTGACTTGACCCTCGGCCGATGGCAATGATGGCCACGATGTCAACAGGCCAGCCATGCGCTTCTCAGCACTTTGCGTTCCGTGATGATATACTCTGCTCGGCGCCTGTGAATGACTGGATGGGCAGCTACGATCTACGAATCTACACATATTGGACCCTGCAACAGCTTGAATCGTAACAATCTTTGAGCATAGTTGGGCATAGTTCCACCCTGAAACCATCTGTAACTATATCCAACGGACTCCAACCATCTTGAAAAACCATCTTTTTTAGCAGGCGGTTGAACCAATATCTCTGCCATGTCTTAACATTTTGATGATCCAGTGACTCCAGTGATTGAAATCCAATGAGATCAGCTCCGGCTCCTTGAATCTCCGATTCGGCTCTTCTTCAAGACCTTCATGGCTAGCAACCTGCGGGTCACGTCAAGTCACCGGGTCTTCTTCGTCAAGTCACATGGCTGGTGTTTTTGCTGGTTTTTCCCACAGGGATGGTTTTTTCATCAATCCATAGGTCTGAAAATAGCGGTTAGTTTATAGTTTATAAACTGAAAATCACTATTTCTGTTAATATTATAGTAATATTTATAGGTTTTTGTAATCAACCCATGAAAAAATCATGATGCCAGGATGACCTGGAAAGCAGATTCCCTATAATGGGATGACATAAGCCAACAGCCAACGTACCGAACTCATATAGAAACCATATATTTTGACCAGAAAACACGACATAACTGGCATAACCTGCGGGGATAAGAAGGGATCTACCATCTGGTTATGACAAACAGCTCGCCATGGTATAGATGGCCCATTGATTTATAGATGGTTTACCGAACTTAAACATGGGTGGATTTTCCATGGCTATGTTAAATAACCAGGGGGTACCATTTGTTTCCATGATCCAAGGGGGTACCATTTGTTTCCATGATCCAAGAATCAGGTGCGCAACTGAAGGACTTCAATGGACACGAAAGACACTTACCAGACAACCCCCAAGATGCCAACATACCATAGGAAACCAGGGAAAAACAACAAACAAAAACTGGCCTCTGGGCCGCGTCGTCCCGTTTCCGAACCAGGTATACGCGACCAAAGGTGCCCTTGCCAATGCACTGAAGGAACCTGAGTGGTTGAGGGGGCCCAAATGGGTAGCAGGCAACGGGGACATCGCCGAAGGTTTTAATGGGAAAACCATCTATCAATGGGGGCTTTTCCATTACCATGTTTGATTACCGGTGGATATCCACCAGATTGTGGGCGATCTTTCAATTGCAAATGTTCACCACCCGGTGCTTTGAACGAGTTCACAACAGATGGTCTAGCCAGTGTACTCTCAGAGTGGGAAAGCTATCCTAGTTTTGCAATAATTATCTCCAATTCTGAACAAATCTGCCTGATCTTACCTGACATTACATTCGTTCATATTTGTTCCATATTCAACCAATTCTGGTATTTACTCATTGTGAAAAAAGGGGTGTTTTTCGATGTCTGAAACATCACCCCAGTCTTGGGACGTCTCCAACAACCATTTCACGGCGCAGCTCGTATCCACTGAGGCACCTTTCCATGGTGTTCGACATGTATAGATTCAATTTCTATCAAATTTAATGTTGGTTCAATTATGTTTTCTCATCGCTATCATGTTATATCCTCCTCTTTCTTGCTTACACCACTGGTTTTTCATCCTTGTCCTTACGATCGCTGGCGCATACTCAGCATGTGCCACGGATCTGGATTTAGACCCAAGATCAACACGTTTGACAGGGTCATACCTCTTAATGATACCACATGTTTGACATTTTTTTGAGGTATCTCCTAGAAAACCACATTAAACATCCCCATTCGAATGGTTTTCAAACCACATATCTCATTCCCATGCTTGTTGCTGAAACGCAAAAAAAAGATGGTTGTGAACATCAACCACCAACAATCTGGATGGAGAAAATGTTCAGTCACCAACTTTTTTCATCCAGTAGCCCTAAATTTAGGTTTTGATGGTGTATAATGTGTATAATGTGTATAGCATTGTTCGTATGAACCCCATCTCAATCTTTGTTTGGCAGTTCTTGAGCTAGACCCCAATAAATTTGTCTCAACATAGGCCACCAAATCCGCTGGTGTTTCAACAACTTAGTTCCCCCAGTACACTAAAATAGAGTGCCCTGTGCCATTTGTGGTGACAAAACCATCTCATACGTCATACCGAGTCATACCCCGAAAAAATGCTTGGTTCAATCCTATGATCACCCCCCAAAAAGGTGGCTGTTCATTCCATCTTGGTTGGTTTAACCCAGTCGAATCATGTGAAATTTGTTAAATCCATCAGATCGTTTCCACTATTTTTTCTGGTCTTTTCCCTAACATCCAGGATGCCCCCGAAAAAAAACTCCATGCGTTTTTTTCGCCCAGAAACTCGAAATCCGCCTCCCTAATGCGCTGCGGTGAGTGAGCCTCACAGGGCTATGGGAGTTGAGGAAATTGGATGATTTGGATGATTTGGATGGGAAATGATGAGAATCTTCCGGTTTTCTTTCGAAAAAAAGGGATCCATTTGATACCTCAAATTCATGAACAGTATTGAAGAGTCGATATCTGAGCCATTTTTTGCCATGATTTGCGGTGCGTGACATGTTGGTTTATGAATCGACAATGTCTAGACTTAGATCATCGGGCCCATGGGGCAAGGGATCAACTTGCCAGACTCCATTCTTTGACCATCAAGTTTAGTATATCAGTAATAAATAGGTGGTTTTGATAACTGGGGAATCCCCAGTGGTCACCATGGTTGTGAACCTATACTATGATCATTCATAACGGGTGATTTTTTTGGGTACCTTCATGCTTTCGGATCTTTAGGAAACCCATGGAAACCCTTCTGCCAGCTGGGTGTAGCACACTGCCCTTCTTGCAAGTCTCAGCCACCTGAGAACAAGGATGGCCTATGAAGATGTGGAGGTTTCGAAGACCTGAGGGGAACCCCAATTATCATCCAGTCGTCATGGATGACCATGACGACTAGTGACTAGGTTAACAAGGTGACGACTGGGGATCCCCCATGACTTAAGAAACCTCCAGTATATCCCACTATATTCACATATTCTTGGTAATTTTCTTGGTTATATTCCAATAAACTCCCACTCAAATCCCATTAAGTCCGGATAAATATCATCTGGATATCATGAATTCACATGGCTTCGCATTGTCCAACGGTCATGAGAGATTGCAATGGGATCTAGATAAACCATGATAAACCTCGATCCGTTGCCGACTCTGCCGATGTTCCTGGTTGATGGAGTCTTGACATTCGATTCATCCGATGTAACTTAAATTGACTTACCCTCTGGTTATTTGTTACATAGCCATGGAAAATCCACCCATCTTTAAGTTCGGTAAACCATCTATTTCTATGGACCATGGCTTCCATGGCTATGTGAAATAACCAGAGGGTAAATGATCACAAAGTGGCCCACCGGACTTGGTAGTTACTATTACCCTCTGGTAAACTAAGAGTTTGCTATTGAAAATGGCCATAGAAACAGTGGATTTACCCATTGAACATGGCGATTTTCGATAGTTTTTTGTATGTTTACCAGAGGGTAATGGCTGATTGGTGGTTTGGAACATTGCTTTTATACCTTTTATGACTTTCCATTCAGTCGGGAATTTCATTCATCATCCCAACTGACAAACTCCGTCATTTTTTGGAAAATCACCATCTTTGAGTTCGGTAAACCATCTATTTCTATGGGCCATGGCTTCCAGTTCGCAAACTGTTAGTCATAACCAGAGGCTAAATCCATTGGAAGTACCCTCTGGTAAACTAACATAACCATGGAAAATCGCCATGTTCAATGGGAAAATCCACTGTTTCTATGGCCATTTTCAATAGCAAACTGTTACTTTACCAGAGGGTAGCACTCCCAACAACCTCCACCCATCGAAAGCCGAGGTATTTCACCAGCTCTCCACACCGTGAAGGTTCAGCAGGCGTGCCTTGGGACATTGGTTGGATCGAGGTGAGGCCCCACCATAAGTTGGTTTATAAGCCCCATCGACATCCAGGAACATCCATTAACTCATATTCATATTAACTGTAGTTATGTAATATATATATTTAAAATATTGATTAATGTTGACCTATGATTTGTCAATGCCCCCTGAATAAAGCTAAATTTTTCCCAAAATAAATAATAAATGCCCCCTAAATAAAGCTAATTTTTTTTGTCCCTAAACCGAGATTTGCCCAGATGGGGCTGACCAAAACCTTTATTCAAAAATGATAGCTGGAAATTGTCAAAAATGATGGATGCTCTTTCTATTCAAAACCTTTACTTAAACTTCTCCAAAATCAACTCCAAATCAACTCATCAAGGGTACCCCCCATGAGGTGCCTTAGCACCAATTAGAGTTTGACCCTGAATAAAGCTACTGAGCTTCCCCCTCCCGCTGATCAAGAAATGAATACTAAATCAATACTAAATCAATACTAAATCAATACTAAATCCATGACATGAATACTAAATCAATACTAAATCCATGAGATGAATACTAAATCAATACTGAATCCATGACATGAATACTAAATCAATACTAATTCCATGACATGAATACTAAATCAATACTAAATCCATGACATGAGTACTAGATCAATACTAAAACAATTGCTGGATTCCTTTTTTTTTTTGAAATTGCATTTTATGTATTCGTTTTCAATCGTGGTAATTTAAAACCTTTACATACAAACAAGTTTTATGGTGGCCTTAAGTCTATTTAGGGTCAGAGAGGGGGGGGCCCCCCTATTGTTAAATCATAGGTGGACATTATATTAAAAATAATATATCTCCTGTAGTTGCCATAGTTCACCAAGGCAAATGTGCCTTGAAACTTTGCTATCTAAAAAGGATATCATCTTGTAGCTGAAGCGAAATAATTCACTAAGCCGAAGTAACACCATCTGGGATGGTTCCCCGCTAACATCCGCTAATCATAAGCTATACAGATCTATACAGAAACCTCGCCGGTGAAAACGAGTTTTGATGTGGCAAGATTGTTTTTTTGCTGAAGGATGTCTTTTCTGATCCTCAACTTCCAAGGTCATCATTGACTAAAGGCTCACTTTGACACATCCACTCCCAGATAAGCTCCAAACTGTCATCTGGAACACCTGACGACTTCGTGATCTCCCTCGTTTGGGGAGGAATCGACAAACCCAGCCACCTTGAAAAAAATCGCCTCCAGAAAGTCTTGGGTGCTTCAATCCAAAAATCATCCAGAATCATCCAAAATCCTGGGATTTTCCATGATTGTCCATGGCTTCCCCGGATTCGCCTTCTTCCAAAAGCCGCCGCGGTCTGTCCTGCGCAATGGAGTGATGGAATCATGATTTAACCGACTTAAGCATCAACTATTTCGGCTTCGATGGCCAGAGATATACCGCATGTACCAGATATGATTATCAATGGATTTACCCTCTGGTAATTTGTTACATAGCGAACTGGAAACATCCACCATTTTGAAGTTCGGTAAACCATCTATTTCTATAGGCCATGGCTTCCAGTTCGCTATGTTAGTTTACCAGAGAGTATATGGATTTATGAGTAGGGAACGGCTCTGAGACACTGCTGACATGGATGACATCATACAAACATGGGAGGCCGGTGAAACGCAACAGCTGAACGCTGAAGGTCACATCCTTTGGGGAATGGTTTAGAAAATAAGGGTTCTTTGTCTGGGCACATTGCGATCCCCCAAAATCAGATGTATCTACCATCCACGATTCTTGAAATCACAGGAGCACTTTGCAACTTGTCCTATAAATGCCCTTGAAATGCCAACATGCTTATATCATCTTATATAATCTTATATCATCTTATATCATATCCCAATCTGAAAGTCAGTGTCAGCGGACACGGAAGACTTTTTCCAGCTAAAAACAGCTAAAAACTATTGAACCACTTGGTGACAGGCTTCTCCCCAGTGACCAACATGCCATCCATGCCACAAAAAATGTCCTGCTTGCGCAGACTGGAGCATAGATTGCGTCCAATCCGTGCCCCCATGACCTTGGATGGTGATCTTTTGGATCTTTTGGATGATTTGATGTGCCATGATATATAAATCATGATATATAAATCATGATTCATGAATATTCATGATCTTTGCTTAGCTGATACCTACTGATACCTACTGATACCTACTTTGCCTACTGATACCTCTTGTTTTGGCATCTGTTTTTGAAGAAATACCTGGTGGCAGCGGTGGCCTCTTAGGAATGGACACGTCACAGTAGACACCTCCGCGATGCGTCGATGCGACGCAACGACCCCAACTGATGGCTGTGGAAGTTCGAAACCGCGAAAACACTTTGGGATTTGCTCAAAAACAACCATTCCATTTCTATTCACATCTATAGTTATTCTATGTTATTCTATGTTATTTTATGTTATTCTTAAAGATATCCAACAAAAACATCGGTTTTTCTCCACATACTTCCGCATTTTCCCACAGGTTTCCCCCATTTCTTGGGCAGATCTTTAGCACCTGACCTTCCAACGGGTCAGGTCGGCCTCCGCCAGCGGACTGTCCATCGACTCCACCCAAGTCCGGGCCTCAAAGTTCAGTGCGGAAAAAAACGGACATCCCTGGGGGATTTTTTCGGATTTTCTCCAGGATTTTTGGGGATTTTGGGTTGTTTTTTTTCGGATTTCCCTGGAAAATGACATGGAAATGGTGAAATGGTGAAATGGATTGCTGGATGAGTTTTGGACAATTCCTGGATCTTTGGATGGTCGAAAATCGGGCGTTTCTCCAGGTGTTTTTGTAGCTGTGGTTTTGGATGGTCTACGAGTCTACCACACCCGTTATACCCATGATGCAAGTAGCAGATAGGAGATGGCCAGATGGCCACTTCACAGCTCTGGCGGAAAGGATTCTCACACAAACATGGTAACATGATAAACTAAGTGCATAAACTAAGTGCATCCCCGGCATTTCACACAGTAATTCATGGCAAATTTAGTCATCCCATGTCATCCCCCATCTTTGTCTTGAGGATTCAAATCTCAATGGCTGAGCCCATGACCAAATGGTAGGCCCTTCACCCGAGGAGCGAGCCGAAAGCAGCCGGATGCATGGTTTTTTCCATAACAAGTGGCAGGATCACAACTCCGATCCACCAAAATTGAAGTTCAAGCACGTCAAATTCACAAGTCTGTCAACATTAAGCGTGTGGCGAAATGGCCAAGATACGCCAAGATTGTACACAATTTACCACGGTGAAATATCTGCATGTGACATTATTCTAGCAGTGTCCCATCATTTTCCACTTCTGCTAGTTGGTGTTGGTTGATGGGGTTCCCACACTGGTTGATGATAATTGATCTCAATAAAGCAAGCTAGTAATATCCAGATATATCCAGTAATTCTATGACCAACAGGATCCCACAGGGCTTTTGCTGGACCAATGAGCCTCCGTTTTTTCGCCTCGGACTGCGATGAGTTCTACTGAATTAGCTCCGCGCATCACTGCGGCGGCAAGGACTGCCTGTACACGTGTCCCACGTGAACCACCTGCGGCAGAGAAGACAACATCTGGGTGTACCCTCTGGTAATTTAACATAGCTATTGAACATGGCCATTTAGAGTTGATTTACCCACTAAAAATGGTGATTTTCAACAGCTATGTTAGTTTACCAGAGGGTATAGTTCGGTTCATCTCGGTTGCTAGTACCTTGCTATGTTTGGTGTCCAATTTCACTATATTTCACTTGGATCTTGAAGAATTTCCATCCCATCTCTGGCTCCGCAACTTGTCCCAGATCCGCTCAATTGGAGTCCCATGGAGCCCCATTCCAGTGACGGGCAGGATATTTTGAAATCATCCAGTTGCCAAGTTGATTTCAGCATTCTGCTACGGGTGAAAAACCCCATGTTTCTTGGGCAGTTCTCAATGGTCACACCATGTCACACTCCAACTCCCAGGTCTGTTAAAAAGATTTAAAAAGCACCCAAATCCCACCACAAATGAAGTGATGAAATACTATATGAAATACCCAATTGTCCAGATCCTCATTCATCGCCCTTGGAAAACCGTACCTGAGGTGCCATCATGGCATGCTGAACACCATTGCTGTGCGAGACATAGGGCATGGTCGTTGCAGAAGAGCCCTGGAAAGGTGCCTGACTCAGGTGCCAGGAAATGTGTCCGGGGTCATGGTTGAGTTTGACTCGTGAACGATGAAACATAGCCCGTTTTTATAGAAATACAAGTTGGTTGATAGATGTTTTTTGAGCTTTCCTGTGGCTCAGTTCATATTCATCAACCCTTGTTGTATGGTAACTCCCTTATTCTTAATAGCTCAAATGGAATGAATGGGTATGGTAATCCAACCCAATGGCTTCATGTACGATCCTCCAAGAACCATTCAGTTTACCCAAGTTTCATCATGGCACACATAGATTTATAAGATTTTATAGGAACATCAATGAACATAGACACCATAAAACCATGTTTTTTTGTCATTCAGATTGGCAACATTTGGTGAAACCAACTCCCTTGTCATACAATTCTCGGATCTCAAACAACCCATGAATATGAAGCCATGAAATGTGTTTTGGGATCAATAATCAGAAACCAAATCCATATGAATATATTAAACTATAAAATTACATATATATATATATATGAATGTCACAGAATGAGGTAAACATTCCAATGGACATTTTCTCTTTCAGGGGCCGTCTCAGACAAAAAAAACATCTTGGGCACTTCAGCACTTCCCCGCAGTTTGGCCATTCTTAAAGACCAGTTCGTCATGTTTCAGCCGCCATGACCAATGTGCCATGACGCAACTTGTAGAATCTCAGAATCCCCAGCTTCACCCCAGTGAAAAATCCAGAAACGAGTCGGATTTTTTCCGGTGATTTTTTTTTACATTCCAACATATTCCAAATCTGACAATTTCGAGAAGAATTCCACACAACATCTCTAAAAAATATCTCAGATCCATCCAAATCCCAGGAAGATTCAACAAAATCAATAAAACATCGGTGAACTTCTGACAGGAACAGCAGCATCTAAAATGCCGGGATGACCACAGGAGCAACCACTTCGGTCCTGAGGGCACAGAGTTTCCATGTTTCCATAGTGAATGATTTGGGGCTAACCCCATCTCAGGAAACCTCCATTTGTATCCATTTGTATAATTGAGTCATGATTAGTTGATCTGCTCCAGGACGATTTTTTCGACATTTTCGAAGAGACAGAACATCTTGGACAGTTGAAAGTTCGCAGCACATGTCAACCAGTTGAGGGCCCATTTCCATTCATTTAGCATCCCCATCGAAAAAAAAATGGCCAAGTTGCTGGTGAACCAATCCGCCAAGCACTTGCATAACCTCAGCAAATGCACGTTTAAAATCGTTTAAACAAAATGCCAAGGCCAAGACCAAGGAGGCCAGAGGCCCAAGACATCCTAAACATGTTTGATATTGTTTGATCTATCATGTTTTCCTGTCCATGCTCAAAGCAGGATTTTCCCCTAAAACAACATCAAACAATTGCATAGTTGGAGCCAATTTCCTGCATATTACATGCCTCACTCTTGCACCAACTCGCCAACATGATAAAGTCCAACTGGCTTCCGAACTGGCTGAGGATACCCTAACTCCAACTCGCCAATAACTCGCACCTGACAATCCGCAACTGGATGACTGTGACAGAAGTTTCACTACTGGATCATGGATCGGCCTTAAGATCTTGAAACCTTTCTCCAGCTGATCAAGATGGCTACAACATCCTTCCACTTTAGAAGTGGACACCATTGGAACCCCAACACTTGGTAAACTGGTCGTTCTCTATGGATAATCAGCCGCTTTACAATTCCCGATTCAAGTTAACCAAATCCAAGAGGGGTCCTGCTACTGCCAGCTGGACAAAGTAGCTGGGATCTACGGATGTTCAATTATGTCCATACCCATATATCCAAATGTCGGAAAACGTGGCTAACTTATGGGAATTTGATCCACAAATCCAAAAAATTGAAGATTTTTCCCCCTATTTTTCCCCCCAATTTCGGGAACCCCATCCGGCCGACCCCGGGTCGACATCTCTACTGCCTGCTGGTCGGTATTCAAGCTCCGAAAGGCGGTGTTGACTCGTCGCCGGTCATCAACCTGTTGGCTGCTGCGGCCCTTCATATCCTGTGGCGCTGAAGGCTGCAGGAGCGTGACAGCAAGGAATTCTTGTTGGTTCCTACCTGACATCATGGTTATCAAATTGTGGCATTTCTTGTTGTTTTGCTTTGTTTAGCTTTTGTTTCTTGTTTTCTATGTTTTTTTAAAGAAGGGTTTGATATTTACATGGTTTTTTAAAACGACAAGTTCCCCGGGCATATGAATTATGAATGGCATTCAGGTCTATCTCCAGCCAGCGGAATTTACCACACGATAGCGAACGGTTTCTTCATCCTGGGAAAATGTTGGGCGAATGTTGGGATAATTTTGGCTATTTTGGGATAATTTTGGAATATGTTGGAATAAGTTATCCCAAGTGGCTCCTTTTTTCGTTCCGATTGTGGAAAACGAAATATCAATGCACCCATTTTTGTTCGTCATTGAAACGCATGTTCATAAGATTCGGATATGCTTCCGGCACTTGCTATCACTATCCAAGCTTGCTCAGAGCCTTTGTTCCTTTCAACACCAGGCAGTGTCAGTGTCAGTCCTGAATCAATTGAAGAACCAGAACCACAAAGTGGTGATCGCAGTTCAATTCCAATAAATCCTGCGGCCGCGATTTTCAGAACGCGGTCGAACGGTGCTCGATGACATCGGGCCGATGACCATTTAATGTTCCGGTTCTTTCATAAAATATATGTATATAATATGTATATAATCCCTTCCCCTACTATTAAACACCCCCTTTGAAACCATGGTTTAGTAGGGAATTTGCACATTTTTTTGGGACCATGCAATTGGGGTGTTTAATCTTAGGGTGATGGGATTATATATATATATAATATGTATACGTATACATGTCTATAGTGCAGCGTGCCACAAGTAGGAACTAACCCATACGAGAAAGTCACCCGCGGGCAAAAAAAGATGTGCACTTTCAGCGTGATTTACTTCACCAGACTACCACAAGTGGTGCCTTCAAACATGGCTGGGACATCACTATATATATATTATATCAAACATGGAGGTTTATAATGGCTTATATTAATATCTATTTCAGACTAGGAAGATCATCACACTCATTCCGGGATTTTGGTGGATTGTTCCAACAATCGCAGGCCTCAGATCTGCTGATCAGGGATTCAATCTCACTCAAGACCGCTTGGGCCTGTTGAATTTGAACCTCCGCAGAGTTTCAAACAACGCTGGAGGACCGGAGACTGGGTGAAGTTCCTGGGTAAAACCGACATCCAACTGACATCGGCACAGTGGATTGGAAGTTGGAGCTGTTGTGTCCTCTAAAATAGACAGCCGGGTCTGTTTTTAGTTTCAACCATCCTGTTCCCATGTGAGTTTGTCCCCATGCGGCGCACCATGGGATTGTCGGCAATTCTTGCTTGTACCAGTTTTTTTGCCCCCAAAAAGGGCAACAATGGACTTGCAAAATCTGCTTTGCCGCAATGGCAATTGCTACACAAATTCAGTTTTGGGGGGTCAATGATTTTAAGCCAAAGCCATGTGCTGATATTGATGGATCACCATGTTCCCTGTGAAATATCCAGAAAAATATCCATACTAAATATCAAATGATATTTGTTGGGCAGTTGTCCAAACTATTGAAAAATCCATTTTCAAAGAAATCAACCTAATCCGATTTTGTCTAAAAATATGGCATCCGCAAATCCATTACCATCATATCCATCATGTTTCCTCGTTACAATTGCCATTTGGGGCTAACATTTTTTCCAGAAATCCAGGGGGTCTTGCTGATCCGGAACCCCCAAAAAAGTGCTCAACAATTCCCCAGTCCTAGTGGATGTCTAGTCCATACATATAATATATATATATATACATATAATTGCTGTTTTTTTACATGTAAAAAAATATCCCATGGCATTCCACTTAAACTTCCATGAAATCACCGTTTCTCTGCTGCGCGTTGCCTGAAGTTGTACGCGTTTCTGCTTTTCCTCCAAGGCAGATTGCTGCAGGAGTTGCCGCCGCTTCGTTTCGATCATCTCCCTGGCCCCGGCGCGCTTGGTGGTTGAAAAACCCCTTCAGTTGGGATGTAAACCCCAGGACAAATGGATAGTCAGTTGGGATTTATATATGTTTATATAATATATATATATGTTTCAACCCCTCTGAAAAATGATGGAGTTCGTCAGTTGGGATGATTAAATTCCCAACTGAATGGAAAATCATAAAATTCCATGGTTCCAAACCACCAACCAGATATGATTGTCCAAGATGATTGTAAGAGATGGGAATATAGCAACTGAATACGAAATACGTCCAATTAAAATAGAAATTAGGCGGTTGATTCTAATATATTCTAATATTATCACAATTTTCAATGTAAGATATTGTAGCTGAATTCAACTTCTTCTATCTTGTTCTCCATTTTTGGTGTTAAACTTTGAAGCCATTCCATGCCCTTCGAAAACAAAAAGCGGTCGAACCTCAAATGGTCCATCTCGTAGTTGACCTCAGTGGAAGGCCAAGGCCAAAACAAAAAAAATCGATGAGTTACGGAACGGTGATTTTCCATAGCTATGTTAAATTTTACGTTAAATTAGAAGAGGCTAATTGTGATCTTATGATTATGATATATATATATAATCTACAATCTTATGATTATCTATCCTTGTGGTTATTGTAAATGATCTTATTAGATGGGATTCAAAATTTTATAATAAGGATGAAGATGGTTGGGGAGCAACTCGTGGGTTTTATGCACGTAGCCCAGCCCTCATGGTGAATCCAACCTAGCCCATTTCATGCTGTGTATCTGACATTGTCGGGATTTGAACTGCGACTCTTTTTTTTGGAAGTAGCCTCCAAAAAATGAATCAAAAGTCTTCAAAAGTGGCAATGGACAACCTCCCATTTATAGATAAATTTATATACATTTCCATTAAAAGTTCCATTGATAGGGGACTTTTCTATGGCTTTTGATTACCAATCGTCTTTCTGGGCTCCGCACAGTTGACCGCTGATTTTCTCCATTCTTGATGGCCTCCTGATTTCATTGATTTCATGATACGCGGGCGCAGGCGCGGTATTTCAGCACCGTTACGAATCTTGGCTTCTCTGAAACATGATGAAACATCTAAGCTACCTCCAAATCTCATGGTTTATGATGCATGTTATCATGTTCCACTATACTTCTTGTGCATTTTTGTGGGCTATTCAATCAGATGACCAGTGTTTACTGTGTGTTTACCGTGTGGTTACCGTGTGTTTACCATGTGTCCAGGGAATCCCAAAACAGGCAAAGAGTTGGTCCTCATCAGCTGCTTGGAAGGCTTCAAGCAGGGCCTGCGATGCTATGAGTATCGTTGAACTTAACGGAGCCCATTCTGGAACATACCCCCATCATTTCGCCGAACCTCACAAATCATGATTCAAACATATCTTTCCCCATGATTATAGTTTAGTATCCCCATCTATATGGGGATGGGTCAAAACCCTATCCCCCTGGTGAACATCAAAATAGCTGGTAAATGGATGTTCATCCCCCTAAAAATGGTATCTATAGGTATTGACCCATACCCATATCTATATTAAATGCCTATGTTGGGACCAGAAACCTGTCTGTTTTCGCCCACGTTCACAGCGGCGCGCCGCGGGCCGCTGGCCTTTGTGGACGCTTTCAACTGATTCATCTTCTGAGCCCATGCTCCTAGCGTGTCCTGAGGGAAAATCCCAATGGTTTCATGGGGCTACCGGGCTACCCCTTTATCGCTGGATGGTTTATGTCATGGAAAATCCTACAAATACATGGATGAGAACTGGGGGTACACCCATTGAAACCCCATTTTTCTCTGTATCTTCCCATTCTGTTTGGATTCTCATGGATTCCCATGAGACAAAAGTGTCGAGCCTGGCGACACAAAAAAGTAGCATTTCCTACAAGAAAGTGGACCGATGGAATTGCATCAGAATCCGCATCCAAAAAATGACCAGCATTGACCAACTAAGCAGCTGCTCATGATGACCCCCAAACAGTGTGATGTACAGAGCCCAATCCCCAATGTTTTAGAGTCCTGGGGGTTTAGTCACTGCTTAGTCACTTAGTCTGCTGATGTTTCGAAGCTTCGTGATCACGCGAGGATTTGAACAATTTGTTCAGCCAGTCGAAAAAACCACACGTTTCAACCAAACCAACCAAACATAGCACCATGTTGGATGGGAGATTTTTCAAGCTGAAGCACACAATTTTCTATCCCATCCCCCCAAAATCAAAATGGATCACAATGGGATGGTTTCCAACCCACCCAACTGTTTCGCCAAAAAAATCACAGTAGGCATCACTGTCTGGGCTCCTTTCCAGTCAAGATGGCTTCATCCATCTTGGTGCGTTCGTGACCCTGGTGACATCCCACAATGAGGCAGTGCGAACCTGTCGGGGGCCACGCTTCAGAATCCATGTCTGGACATGGAGGTCATCCGGAGGTCCAAAAATGTGATGGTCGGGATGCAAAACATGAGGATTCCCAGAGTGATATGATGCCTTGATTCCAACTTGAAATGGAGAAATTCCATGGCGCATCATCAATTTTTCAATGGCAATCTTGGGAGGTGTAGCACATTGACAGACCCAGGTCAGTTTTGAATTCAGCCTTCTGTAGATACTAAGCCTTCGACAGATTGGCGTCCGACAGTCACAACAATAGAACTCCTGAGCTCACAAATTCACCAACAATTGGATCATTTTTTTCTGGACATTCTGTGACATTCACCAACATTGGAAAAAAAACGGGTTGAGCTGAAAAAACCTCTGAATTTCTCCATTTCCGAAGTCCAACGGCCATGACGGGGGCCCCTACCAGCTTTTCGCCATGTTCTGGACAAACCATCCTGACCAAAGGATGACGCCACTGGATTCAGACCCCCAAAAACGCTGGATGGTAGTGGAATGTCCCATGAAAAATTGGATGAGAACTGTGGGTACCCCAATGACTTAGGAAACCTCCATATTTCACATGATTTTCACCTTTCTGGAGCCTGAAGTCATCCTTCTCCTTGTCTTTCTTCGGAAGATCGTCCTCAGTGCAGGACAGGTTACTGGTAGGACCCTGATCAGAGTCAGGGCGATAGGGACACCATGGTGCATCATCTTTGACATGAACAAATGGTCATAAATTCACTGGTTGGTGGTTGACCTACCCCTCTGAAAAATATGAGTTCGTCACTTGGGATGGTTATTCCCAATACATGGAAAAATAAAACATGTTCCAAACCACCAGCCAGATTCATGTGTTTTCCCCCACTTTATAGCCATAATTTTCCCTCCACTTTAGGATTCTTAGCCATTAATTTTCAGCAGATCCAGCATGAGGAAGGGACTCTCACGCCCATGAAGGTATGCTCCCGGAAGTAGCCTCTTCCGCAATGATCAAAGTGACCATCCACGATCAAAAGCATTGGGTCTAAATCTGACATCCCAAAACACAAGTCCTAGTTACTCTTATATAAACTTATGTGTATATATATATATATTATATATATATACTATATATTATATTATATATATATTATATAATATATAATATATATATATATATTATATATAACATGTATGTATATATATATATACATGCATATACATATTTACTATAGTAGCTTTCAAACAAACATAGAAATCAGTTTTTACCACCATTTTCCGATTTCACTTTTCGAACCATTCGGGGACCCCCAAAAACCATTCCATTTACCAAAGGGTATCCCAATTTTAATGGTTGGTATCACATTTTATCCCCATTGTCGTAACATTTTTGAAGCATATCCACTCTCTGTGCCAACTTGAGCACACATCTCCAGCCTTTGCTGTGAGTGGACGTTGCACACTCTTCACAAAGGGGCTGGCCGTGGCATTCCACACATCTTCGGGTGGCTTCCTGCTCCTAGCCAGCTGTAGGGGGTGGCAGCCCCGGATGGTTGATAAGACTGTGAGACTCATTCAGTATTCCTTGTTGTCATCTATTGCCCATGAAACTTATAGTATTCAATACTTAGTATTCACCATTTTAATTACTTAACATACCTTAAGTCATGCATCATCTCGTCTAAATTCTGAAAATCGATTGGGCCAAAAACATCACCCATGCAGCGCCGCTCGCAGCGCCGCGAGGTGCGCTCCTCGCAATAGGCACAGGTCACAGGGATCGGTCTCAGTGGTTCGCTCTCCTGGATCGATCCCTTGGCTCAACTGGAAATAAAATGAAATAAACAGATGTAAACCAAATCGTCTATTTAGTACATATCCCATGACGGATCCATGGTGCTGGTATATTAATGCTAACATTGATTGGGGGTATATTGATGGGAGCCATGGCACACCATATATATATATATATATATAGCATACATGGATTATATCATATATGGCTGTGTCTAAAAATTGGAGATTACACAGTAATACACGTCGTATACTCCCAGAAAAAGGATGAAACTGCAGGTCATTTAGTATCATTTTGGATGGGAACATGCTGAGCTGACTAGCTGACTAGCCATCAAGTCTGGAAGATTTCCATAGATTTTCACAGTATTTTCTCCGGTAATTTCCAGGTTTCCACCCAGGTTTCCACCTGGCTGCTACATCTATGGCTGAGGTTTTTTGCAGAGCCCAAAGTGCCTCATCTGGTTCCTTCAAGGCCTGAATCCCATGTTTCGATCGAATCTCTGGACCATCCAATTCTGCATCAATTTCTGCATCAATTCGGCATCCGAGGCATCCGCCAGTTGTTGCTTGAAGTAGTCCACAACGATCTTTTTCACGGTATCCTCGTGAGATTCTTCAGTCGAGTCACAAGTCACGTCGCTGAATGGCTGAATGTCTGGCTGGGCAGGCTGGGCAGGCTGGGCTGCCTACCACTTTCAAGCCACCCTCAGGTACTGGGCTCGATGCCTCGTGTTTGGCAAAGGAGGCCAGACACTGTTGGCAAACGTCAGCCGAAAGGTTGAAAATCCGATCACAAAAGTCAAAGCTGTTCTCAATCACTCAGCTGTGAGGACTAAAATGGAGTAAGATAAACATTCCAGAAACACGGCAGCTTTGGATTAGGAAGGTTTTTCAGGTTTTGGAAATCTGGAAATCTCAGCTGTTTTATCCTGTTTTCCTAATCTCAAACGACTCAACATGAGTCAACATGAGTCAACTGAGACACATGCCTTGCAAATTGGACATGCTACAGGATCTCCATTCCCGAAGTTCGCCACGTGAGCTGCCTCGCGTCACCACATCACCGGGGAAATGACCCGTTACTGGTCAACTGGCTTCACATGGCAACATGCAAAGAACAACAAAGAACAACAAAGAACAACATTTAAAGCCTCATCAAAAACATCAACTTTTTGCTTATCAAAAACCATGAAAACCACTTCTGTCTTATCAAGTCCTTGTATTCTTTATTGCAGTTGCTGTTGCCACAGATTTTCCTTTTAACATCTCTTAACTCTTAACATGCCGGCTCTCACGCACAAGTGGTGGAAGCAGTCCAGTGTGATCGGATCCTGAGTGTGGAGCTGGAAAAATCATGGGATTTTTCGTGGATTTGGCTGGATTTTGAGGGCCCTGCCGTGACAATTTCATGGCAGATTGCACATGAGACTTCGTGCGGAATGCGCATTCTGAAGCTTCGAAATCGAGATTTAACTCCACAAAACATGCTGCAACTTCGATCTACGGTCGCAGTGCATCTTTTGCGAGTGTTTCTGTTGCAATGCATTTTTGTGTTTCCTCTTCTTGCAGTAGTGACATTCATGATGTTCTGGCATAGGAAATGAATCTGATGCAACTTTCCTGCTTTGAATCATGGGGCACAATCAATAGCTTCATGTCGAGCCTCTACTGCCGCAACAAGTTGGAATTCTGCACACTGCAAAACATATTTCTTTTGAACGTCTGGGATCATGTGAGTGTGGAAATGGAGACTCTGTTTCTCTCTTGGAAATGATATTTTAGAATCCCCTTCAGATCTCTAACTCCCGCCATCGCTCCTTAAAACTCATGTCAGCCCATGAGCAGATGTCCCTTTACTTGTCCTGCTCAGCAAGGTCATGATTTTGATTAGCAATTAATTAGCACCCAGCTGGAAATTGCTCCACCATTGACCATCCAACAAAAACACAGCTGTGCGCTTCAGCATGGTGACTTCCAGAGGATTTAGAGGTTTTCGCCACCACACCGAAGAACCACATCGCAAGCCATGTCTTTTTGCTCGCTGAAGGGACGCAGTCATGGCCTCCAGGAAAATGCTGAAAGACTTCGCCCCAGATGGAGACTGTTGAGGCTGGGGTCTGACAAAGCCATGTTGAAGGTCACAAGATGTCACAAGAGATGATGTATTTTGCATCCTTGGACCACAACGCCAGCCCCAAAATGCCAAAAATATCCAAAAATGATTATTGTTTCCAAAGGCACACAACCATTTCTTGATTCGTTCGTCCTCCCTGTTGGAATGATATCTTCAGTAGAACTGTAAGTGGAAAAGTGATAGTGAAGAGAGCAAAACTAACAAAGTAGGGACAGTATCATGGCCCTTCGTATTCAACAATGGATTACAGCTAGCGCATAATATGGAAGGCTGCCTATACAATCTTTTGTATGGACTGAGGGACAGCACCCCCCACATTCATTCATTCATTTCAACAAAACAACAGTCAAAAAAGGTCAACAGCAAACCAGTCATATTGGAAAATGTAGGAGCACCAAAACACCATAGTTCGAGTTTGATTTTTTCCCGCAGAAATGCCTGCAAGCAAAAATATCCAGGTATTGTTGTCTACAGTCCGGAAAAAACAAAACTCATGGCGTCGCTTAACCTTTCACTGGACGAAAGTTGTGTACTAAACTCAACAAACCAAAGATACCTAAATCCCAAGAAATCTTAAGAAAATTTACTTCTGATAGATGTGGTAAAGCCGCGTTTAAAACATTTTCAAACTAATCCCATGAAGCATCTGGGTGCTACAAAATCATCCCATAGGGGTATACGTATACCCAATTTTTTTCACCTCTATTGGGGATGGTTCATGACATAGGGTTTACCAGATTAATGGGCATGCAAAAAGAAATGGTGCTCTGAAATGGTGACTCATACCCAGACAGAAAAGGGCCTGGTCCAGAAAACCACTTGCAGCATCGATTTTGAGCCTTGGAGTAGAAACGTGCAGAACAAGTGTAGTCAGGAAGGTTATTCGACAAACAATGCGTTTCGCAGCCCAGCTTTGCAAACTCTCAGCGGGCTTACTTTTATGATCCCTCTCGGGTGCATCTTGCGTGAAACGAGAGTTCCTGACAAGATAGAAAACCGTTGTGGGGATCCCTTCGAAACCGGACGTAGAGATGAGTCAAGGCATATCTTATTTTCAGCAACGATACCGACGATCCCGGCTTAAAAAGAGAGAGAGAGAGAGGATGTGAAGATGTGAAGATGAGAAGATGTGAAGATGAGAAGATGTGAAGATGAGAAGATGTGAAGGTGTGAAGATGTGAAGATGTGCAGATGTGCAGATGTGAGGATATGAAGATGTGAAGATGTGAAGATGAGAAGATGTGATGTGAAGATGAGAAGATGTAAAGGTGTGAAGATGTGCAGATGTGCAGATGTGAGGATATGAAGATGTGAAGATGAGAAGATGAGAAGATGTGATGTGAAGATGAGAAGATGTGATGTGAAGATGAAATTATGTAAAGGTGTGAAGATGTGCAGATGTGCAGATGTGAGGATATGAAGATGTGAAGATGAGAAGATGTGATGTGAAGATGAGAAGATGTGATGTGAAGATGAGATTATGTAAAGGTGTGAATATGTGCAGATGTGCAGATGTGAGGATATGAAGATGTGAAGATGTGAAGATGAGAAGATGTGATGTGAAGATGAGAAGATGTAAAGGTGAGAAGATGTGCAGATGTGAGGATATGAAGATGTGAAGATGTGATGTGAAGATGAGAAGATGTGAAGGTGTGAAGATGTGCAGATGTGCAGATGTGAGGGTATGAAGATGTGAAGATGCGAAGATGTGATGAACATGTAAACATATGAAGATGTACAGCAGACCTCGACTTTTAGAAGAACCCTTCACCCAGACGCTCTCTGGAAAAAAACTATCATTGTCCTCACTAACATTAGTATGTCAAAGGGTCAATCCGCCATTTTCACAGAGACCTGGAAATGGAGAAAACGATGAGCATCAGGCGGCCTGGTGCTGGTGACACTACGCCGGAATTCATAGGTTGATCACAGTTGCCATTCGGTAATCAAACATAGCACTTGAACATTGTCCCATATTCCATTGCCGTGTTTGATTACCGGAGGGTATTCACAGTTCAAGTTCGTCCCTTGTCATTCCTTAGCATCCATGATCATCCGCCATCCAAATGACGCGTCGCAGTGCCCGGTGATTCCGGGTAGCCCTGTCCATCCTATCTGGCCATTTGTTGTCCACATGTTGTGGACACCCGTTTCTTTTGGTTCCAGTTCTTCTCCATCAGTCGCCACTCCCCTCCACCCCCAGCTTCATCATCATCATCATCATCATCGTCATCGTCATCGTCATCGTCATCGTCATCGCCATCGCCATCATGATGAGGATCATCATCATCATCATCATCAACATCATCCTCAGCATTAATCATCATCATCATCACCATCACCATCACCATCATCACCACCATCGCAACCGTCACCGTCACCGTCACCGTCATTGTCATTGTCATCGTCATCGTCATCATCATCATCATCATCATCACCATCACCATCATCGTCATCGCCGTCGTCGCCATCATCACCACCATCGTCATCGTCATCGTCAGTGTCATCGTCATCGTCGCCATCATCATCATGATGAGGATCATCATCATCATCATCACCATCATCAACCGTCATCGGCAGCCTTGACTCCGCACCAATAACAAACACTGCAACTGGATAAACTATTGCAGACGGAAACAACCCAATCGCAGAAAACTTCAAACGAAACCGCTGCGAAGCGTGCATCAGCCCACCCTTCCGCGCATGCAGCACAATGTGAATTTAAACCAAGGCTGGCAAACCATGTTTTCAATCAAGGGAATCTCCTCGTTGCTACAAATTTGGAAACAAAGAGATTGCAGACTATACCCTGGACAAGAATGAAAAAACATCGACTGGTCAGGAGCCCTGAGGCTGCAACAAAACGTCCAACAAGAAGTACTCAGAAATCTGATTGATCCAACCGAAGAGGAACGAGCCTGAAGCTGACTCCATAGACATCCATAGATATCCATAGACTATGGTTGAGAGATGTTGACAGGCCTGAAATCTACCCTGTCATTTTGTTTGTTGAACCCAGTGTTTGTTGGAAGACTGGATGGTATTGCCCGGTATTGCTACCGCAACCAGAGTTCCTTTCCTTTCGCGGTCTAACATGTAGAGCTAATGGCCAATCCACAGCGTGTCTCGATATGTCTCGATTACTCACATCTTCCATTCACATGTGAAAATGATCCCCTTTAAGAGATCTTGAATTTGATCTCATCAGTTTTCGCTGGCGCAGAAAATTCTTGGACCTTTTTGGTGTTTTTGTACACTATTGGTCTCAGCCGTGTCATTCCAAACGGCCACGGCCACGCAGGTCATCACGGCCACGGCCACGGCCGAAGCGCAGCTGCTGTACGATGACTTCATGGCCTTCTCCACGCTGGAACTTTGGAAGCTCCAACTGCAGCTCCTGAAGCAGAAAATTGAGGATGGCATCAACTAGAAACCCGCAACGCAACTGTGTGGATTATATTTAAATTTATATGGATTTAGAATCATTGGGTATGTAATCAATATATTTGTCTGATTGTCACCTGATTATATATCTTGTCTGTATTGATTCTCATCCAGAAATATAGATAATATATCCGAAATCATGAATCAAATATGGTCTGATTATCTGTGATCCTTTCAGGTGTCGAATCTCCCCTTTCTTTTGATGTCCTGGTACAACCTCTCAGCCAGGGCCTCTGTGCAATCAGGGCTTAGCACCTGGCACCAGAACTGCCGGATCTGAGTGGATCGCACGAGGGCATTGCGGAGGCGGAATATCTATGGGAATCTATGGCAGTCTAAATATTTTTGTTGGGATTTGTTGGTGGCATGGAGGGTTACCATCAAAATCTGGTTGAAATATAAATTGAGGTTCGTTGATCATATTGATCATATTGATCATATTGATGATTATTGATGATTATTGATGATTTCTAGGTGGGGAAACTGGAATGATTGGGATTGCAAAACTGGAACAATGCCGTCCCCCACTTCAAAAACGCCAGAAACCATGGCAGATGTAGGGGATGAAATCATGTAGCACCATTTAGGGGATGTTTAATATGAATGGGGCATGGGATTGAAATTAGCACCCCCTGCTTCATAAACTTGTATAAATCTTGATAAAAACCTGCGCTAGTACTATACTGGACAGACAAAACGATAAACATCAGGGGGTGGAACTATGGTCCGACGACATCATCAAAAGTCTGTTTCAGCAACTGAGTTGAGCAAATACTCACCATCAATCTCACCATCATGCTATCATAGCCTATCAATGTTTATCATATTACATCATAAGCGGAATCCTTCTTATGTCAATATGGTGCTTTATCTCATGGCGCCTGCCAAAGTAGAAGTAGCACTGGCGCCAGCAGAGCTATGCGTGCCAACCAAGCGCAGTCGTAGACAAAAGCCAAAGATGCTAAGGCCAAACAAAAGCAACTCAGGCTCTGTAGTTGGCTCACCTGACAAGCTGAGTAATCTCTTTCGCCAATGCTGTGGCTGCAGTAAGAGGCTTAGAAAACTACCAAACGTATCCAAAAATTGCGTAGTCAAAATGGAAGTTATCCATTCTTATCCGTTTCTGGTGTTTCTGCAGAAAACAATATTAGATATGTCGCAATGTCAGCCCCACCTGCGGCCACATATACGGCTGGCATGCCCCAACTAGCACCGCCATACCCAGACTGAAAGCGATGGCCCATTTCCAGGCGTCAGACATTGAGACGCACGAGACCAAAGCCACGGCGAACAATTTCATGACCAGGTGCATCCACACGTCCTCTGCGGAAAATCTGAGATCCGGCACAGAATCACAACGAGGGGAACATCTGAAAGTTTAGGGCCACTACTGCAAGGTCGAATCTCAGAATTTCTGAACTAAGCCTCCGTAATATTTTTTCTGTCTCTTTCTGGACCTAAATTCAAAAAATAAACGTTTTGGTTGACTATCTTCAAAAACCAGTGGCAAACTTTCTGCCCTGTACTGCCACCTCAAGTTTGGCAATATCTCGCACCAAAAAAGACTTGCGCCCCCATCAGCATGCTGGTGCACGCGCATGCAGTGTTCAAGCTTGTCATCATGATCATACCGCTTCAGAAACCAATGTGTGAAGGCCAAGTCTTAAATGCAGAAGGCTTCTTTTTCCTAATGTTTGGTTTATATGTAAAAAAACATCATTCACTTTTCTGAGGGAATTTGTAAGGTTCGATGGTTTTGGTATGCGTTTTGATGGTTTTCGTTGGCGCTGAATTTGCATAGAAAGTACAAATCGAACACACTTCTGAATGAGTAAGTGATTTACACTTTAGAAAATTGAAATAGTCGTCGCCTGAATGTTACCTAGGAAAACGTCCTGTCAGGGCAAAATCGGTGATGCATGAAGTTGTTGCTTCAACGCACAGCGAACAAAACAGAAGGCAACAGTTCAAGCTGATCTGCAGGTACGTGCAGTTGATCAGACTGCACATCCTCTCCAAACATCAGTAGCTTCGTTGGCCACGGACTGATGAATGGAGCCAATGGCCCCTGCTTGGATCTTGAGCGAATTCATGGTTTTATTCTCAACTGCATGATAGCTAGCGGTTTACACACACAAATCAACATAGTCTCACAAATGGTGAGCCAGCAAGCCTCCAATGGAGGCCCATGGAAAATCTGAGCAAGGGTTGGATGTGCAACAAAGAATGCAACATGAAATAAACAATGGAAAAATCAACAAAAGTAGTGCTATGGTAAAAAACTGGACGTTGACCATCTCAAAAACTAGTTGACAACCTACTCATCCAAAGTGAGGCCCTACGAACAACCTGGGCAACATTATTTTGGTGAGATTTTACCCCATCATTACTTTACCGGTTGCATGAAGATGATGCAGGGTTTGCTTAAATCATAGCAACTGTCTACTTCTCAAAATGCCCTAAGAATTGACACCTGCACAACGAAACAAGATGCAGCCCACGTACCCGAATGCTCACACTAATGTTAATGGTACAGATGCCGAAACACATGGATATGCAGTCGCGCAGAACACTTTTCTGAAACAGTTTATTTGAACAGTCTTGTACATTTTCCCCTGTTACCATACCAGTGCATCGTACGCTGTGGAACTTGGAAGAAGGTGGAGTGTAGAGTCTGGAGTGTAAAGTATGGAGTGTAAAGTGTGGAGTGACAAGTGTAAAGCGTAAAGTGTGGAGTGTGGAGTGTGGAGAGTAGAGTGTAAAGTGTAAAGTTTGCAGTGTAAAGTGTAAAGTTTGCAGTGTAAAGTGCAGAGTTTGGAGTGTAAAGTGTGGAGTCTGGAGTGTGGAGTGGAAAGTGCAGAGTGCAGAGTGTGGAGTGTGGGGTGTAAAGTAAGGAGTGTGGCGTGTGGCGTGTAGAGTGGGGAGTGTGGAGTGTTGAGTGTAGAGTGTGGAGTGTGGAGTGTAAAGTGTGGAGTGTAAATTGTAAAGTGTGGATTGTAGAGTGTGGAGTGTGGAGTGTAAAGTGTGGAGTGTGGAGTGTGGAGTGTAGTGCAAAGTGTAAAGTGACTGAGTGACTGTAGAGTGTGGAGTGTGGAGTGTGAAGTGTGGAGTGTAGTGTGTGGAATGTAAAGTGTAGAGTGTAAAGTGTAGAGTGGAAAGTGTGGAATGCAAAGTGTGGAGTTTAAAGTGTGGAGTGTATAGTTTGAAGTGTGGAGTGGGGAATGTAAATCAAATGGCTGTAGTCGCATTCTTTCAATTTAACGTGTTTTCCGGATAAATGTAACTATCTTAAGGATTTGAACTTTGAATTTGATGAGAGGCAATTTTTCTCAAACCAGGGCAAATTTTCCAGCCATGTTGACTGTTTACAATGAAGAATAGTTTAGGGAGGCACAGTTCGGAAGACTTGACAATACGACTCCGTGTCTGAGAAAAAACGCAAGCGCGGATCCTGCATCGTGCTTGCTCCGGGGCTACTTGCTCAGTCAGGGCTAATGTGCTGGCTGGGGACAACGGGCTACGCAAGACATGGTTTTCCTGATTTATTTTTTCTCTCCGCTTTTTCCGTTTCTTTTGGAAAAAACCGAGATGGCAACGTACCATTGAGAAAGCAACGTTGCAATGTTTATTGGTTTTTACAGGTCGCGGACACTTCGTGCTTTCTCAAGGGGTGCATGCTATCTCCGAGGTTCGCCCAAAAAAATAGAAAAACAAAAACCAGCCGAGAAGGAACCCTGGGCTGAGGAAGCACCTTACCCTTGGGGAAAATATAGGTTCAGGGGGCTGCATGGGGCTGCTTCACTTTAGTATTTGAACATATTTATTGGGTGGAATGGGAAAGCAGGGCAAGAGTACGACTCTGCGGGTCAGGATGTCAGCTGACCACTTCATCCGACGCAATTTTGGAAAAATGAAAGAACAGATGGGGGTTGAAGTGAAGCGGTTAAAAGGGGTTTAAAGTTTAAAGTGTTGCAGACCAAAACAGTTGAGATAGACACGCTTCATTGAGAGGGAGAAACCTTGCACCCACAGATCTTTGAGTACAGTGTGGAGTGTGGAGTGTACAGTGAGACGGAGGAATTGGCAAAAACATAGCACATCGCATCTGGTGACTAAATTCCGCCCAACTCGAGACCAACCGAAAGAAACATGAAGGATTCCCAGTAACTCTGGAGAAACAAATTGAACCTCCTGAAACGCCAAACAGCGATTGCTGTGAGGACAGGGAAAAAATGGCCACAGCTGGCTCCACCATCCCACGGGCCCTCGCCCAGAGGGGTTGTCTTGGACAACACAAGTCGTGAACGCCAAAAAGGGCTACAGAAATCTCCAGTCTTCAAAAGTCAGAGTCATGAGGAAGGAGCCCTAACGAACATCGTTTCAGACATTGGCTCCAAAATCCATCGATAGGTAACAAAACTGGATGTTCTGTCCCAGGTTCTGTAGGTTCTGTCTTGTGGACAGTCACACAATGGCCGGGGGACAGAACTGTGCAGGAAGGAGCCTCTCATTCAGAGCATCATCAGTAGCAGGCCGACGGTCAGGATGAAGGCCATCTATGGCTGCAACTCGGCTCGCCGCCGCAACGCAGCGCGGGCACGCCAGGATCGTACCACCACACAGGCTTCTTGCAACAAGGTCGCGCTTCCAGCCCCAAAGCCATGGAGAGCAGAGGCACGGCCGATGCGACTCAGGGCCTTGGCAGCCTCAGGGGCCCAGGCTCCAGTCGTTTCCACCACCAGAGGTAGGAAGTGAACGTTCTGGGCACGACGTACAGTGAGAAGTGTGGAGTGTAAAGTGTAAAGTGTGGAGTGTGGAGTGTAAAGTGTAGAGTGTGGAGTGTGGACTGTAAAGTGTGGAGTGTAAAGTGTGGGGTGTGGAGTGTAGACTGTAAAGTGTGGAGTGTAAAGTGTAAAGTGGGGAGTGTCGCGTGTAGAGTGTGGAGTGTAGAGTGTGGAGTGTGGAGTGTGTAGTGTAAAGTGTGGAGTCTAAAGTGTAAAGTGTGGATGTGGAGTGTAAAGTGTAGAGTGTGGGGTGTAAAGTGTGGAGTGTGGAGTGTAAAGTGTAAAGTGTGGAGTGTAAAGTGTAAAGTGTGGAGTGTGGAGTGTAAAGTGTAAAGTATAAAGTATGGAATGTACAGTGTGGAGTGTAAAGTGTGGAGTGCAAAGTGTACAGTGTGGAGTGTAAAGTGGAAAGTGTAGAGTGTGGAGTGTAGAGAGTGGAGTGTGGAGTGTAAAGTGTCGAGTGCAAAGTGTAGAGTGTGGAGTGTGGAGTGTAAATTGTAGAGTGTAAAGTGTAGAGTGTGGAGTGTAAGGTGTGGAGTGTGGAGTGTAGAGTGTGGGGTGTGGAGGGCAGAGTGTAGAGTGTGGAGTGTGGAGTGTAAAGTGTGGAGTGTAGCGTGTAAAGTGTTGAATGTCAAGTGTGGAGTGTGAAGTGTAAAGTGTGGAGTCTAAAGTGTACACACGAAAAAAGGCCACTCATCTTGTGGAAAACGATAGAAAAGTATTGCGCCTGCCACACAAAATGACTTTCGACACGTTATCAAACAGGTTGGGATGTCACAAAGTGCCGCGCCTGCCACGCAAAACGACATGACAACCTGCTTGGAAACCTTCGACAAGGAGAGGTTTTGCAGCTTCCCCCATAGACACGGCGAGGCCACAGGAAAACCAGAGACTCGAGACGAGACACGTGGGAGCATCAAAACGAGCAGTTCGTGCGAGACTTCCTCCAATTTTCACACTTTGTAGCTTCAAAATCGACGTTTTCCTACGAGTTTTCCTTAGAACCTGAAAATTTGCTACCTCAAAATCGATGTTTCGTGCGAGGGTTCCGTCAATTTTCATCACATCTCACAAAATGCCACGCCTGCCACGGAATTTGCACCTTGTCGCCACTTGATGCAGCCCTGCCAATGCGATTTGCAAAAAAACACGCAACACGACACGTCTAAAGTGCTGCGCCTGCCACGCAAAACGACGATGGACACGTCCGAAGTGATGCGCCTGCCACGCAAACTGCAACTCATCTTGCGAAAACGTCGCAAAAGTATTGCGCCTGCCACACAAAACGATTTTCGACACGTTACAAAACACGTCTGAATGTCACGAAGTGCCACACTTGCCACGCGAAACGAAGCAACGCGACGTTTGAAACATCCAAAAATGACCCCTTCTGCAGAACTTACCATAGGCACAGCCATACGGCCATCACACGAACGGTTGCGGACGGTTGCGGACGGTTGCGAACGGTTTGGCAACGTCGAGCGAACACACCCTCACCCACCAGACCCCCAGAGTGAAACGGGAACCCCTGCTACGCATTCGGGAAAAAGGATGTAATTAAATGTTTGAGATTCAAGCAAGCATAATGTAGTAGAGAAACTTAAAAATCCAAACAAAATCTAAAAACATGGATTTGCTTAAAGACCCTTAAGAAAAAACATATTCCATGTAATTATTTTCCCCATTGTATCAAAAAATGGCGGATTGTTTTCCACTCCTGGCAGAGCATGTACTTGCACAAAAGAGCTTGAGAGCCAATCAGCCAACGATCTTTGGCTTCCTCCAGCATAATGCGCTCAGTCAACATCTCAGCAACCCGCCGGCTTCGCAACCTCGCTGGCAGAAAAACCCATGAAGGGATTCAACATGATTTCACCAACAAACAATGGGGGTTAAACATATTTTTTTAGACAACCATAATGAGGATAAGTAGAATGGGATGTAAACCAATCGTGACATGTCATATACTATAGTTACTATAGATTCGTCCAATGATGGCAGATAAACACCCCAATTTATAGCAACCATAAATTGAACGGGGGGAAAATGATGCAGAACCAACCAGCGACCAGTAAATGATTCCCATCAATGAAGGCGCGCTATGCAAAAATCAAATCAACAAGGATCAACAAGGTAACAACAAAAACAGCAGGATACATCCTGCTTGTAAATCCAAGTAACACGTCGATGTTTCTGGAGGTTTTTGCATCTGCTACAACTTTCATCAGATCCAAATGATCCGCGGGAATTTCCTCACCACCCGAGGATGTGGCGCTGATGTATCCATCCTGTAATTGGACCAGCCACTTTCCACGGCAATGCACTGCCATATGGGCTGCCACTGCTGCCTGGGCTCGAAGAGTTTCGGTGTTTGTCATTGAAGAACTCGGGGTGGGCGCGATGGTGGTTGAGTTATTTGGATTATGACGACCATTTCGAATGGTTTTGAGAAATTAAGTGGTTAATGGATATCAACTATCTTTCACTGTTTACCGCACCTGCAGCTTCTCACCAAGTGCGGCTGAGAGACCAACAGGCGTTTTGGAAGTGCCTCTTCCGGTAGCTGCCCGTGCAAAGTTTGCAAACGCAGCGTGACATGCTGAGGCGTACCTCCTTCGGCAGAGGCATAAAAGAGTCGTGCTTCCTGAAGAGCAAAGTACCTCGTTGTGAGGTTTTTAAGGCCCCTGGCGACTTCTAAGCATTCCAATTCCAGGCCATCTTGGATGTTACATGATGTCATAAAGAGCTTCAAAGCTCGTCAGTTTGCAATTAAAGTACAGCATACACTATGCGCATCGTGGGTTTTGCTGAGACGGTGGCCCATATATTCATTAAATGATAAATGCATTTGAATACAACGTCAAGAAACATCTGGCATATCCAACTGATGTTTTGGACACCTGGAATAGTCTGATATCTAAGGCAAGATACTGTCTGACCATGAGGCCAACCTCAGGCGAAGCTAGGCTGAAATCCTAGCTGAACCTCCAAGAAAAGCTTCTAAGAGCACGAGTTTTGCATCAACTTTGCATCAACATTTGAATATGTTTGAATCTTTTGGGGGCCCTTTGAATGCCAATCAAGAGTGATAATGTGATAATAGTGAAACTTCATTGAAACTTCTTGCAGCTTGGGAACGAGAAAGAGAGGGATCAGGACACCATATGCCAAAGCACTGCTGTAGCCAACCATATCGACCCAGAACGCCACGCCATCGGTTTCGGAGCAGCGAAGATGTCGAATGGCTTTCCGAAAGGCAAAATCTCCCAGGCTTTCGCCATCTGCCATGTTTTTTCTTAAACAAAAAACTCCAAACCTGACCCAAGACTTCTCGGCAACAAAAATCTCATGCATATATGGAACCATCAAACTCATTGAAAATCCATGAAATACAATCTCTTTGTTTGATAGACCTACTGGAAAATGGATTGTTTAATGGCCCATTTGTAGATAATTCATGATGATTGACCGGTCAAAATTTTGATTTTCCATGGCTTGGTAAAATTACCAGAGGGTGCTCATCAATACTCCTACTGTGGATGGTTGCGAAATCCCCAAAACCACCAAAAGGATGGTTAAAACCCTATAAATAATGGGATAAACCGATAAACCATCTATCAACTGCTGCAGGATTTTGCAACCATCCACAGTAGTGCAAAAGTCAGCAGCACCTCCATCCACAGACTGACAACTCAGAAGTTCTGATGCACTGGATGCGCCACCAATGAAGAGCAGCGTCAGGGTCTTCAACGCCATGCTAACCTTATAGCTTGTTCAAAGAAACCGACACCTACAAGCGGTACCCATCGGAAATCAAACATGGCTAACTTGGAAATTCCCGAACTATTCATGTTTTAACGACATTTTAATGGGAACATCATCAAACTTGATGAAATGTCCAGCAAAAAAACGGAAACTTTCCTATTCAGGCTAAGCTGACGCCAAAGCCAGCACGATAAAGTTCCAGTGCCGCACAGCACGCCAGCCTCGATGGAAATGCTGAGCTTAGACCGATACTTGACGGTTGATTATCGGTTATGAGTTGGGGAGTTACAGTATTATGTTACCATCTGGTTATTTAACATAGCCATGGTATAGATGGCCCATTTATAGATGGTTTACTGTACCTATTAAAAATGGTGTTTTTCCATGGCTATGTAACAAATAACCAGATGGATCCAGATGGTAAATTATGTTGTTAACCTACTTTCCCCATTTCAGTCGGAGCACTTGGACTTTGATAGCAAAGCGCCCAACTTGCTGTAGAACCATCAAGATTTTTGAATTGAAAACTCGAAAAATTGCGAGGATTCCAAAAGGATTTCGAAGGTTTCTTCAACAAACCAAGATCGTTTTTCACCGCCAGGTGGCAACAGCAGTGGCGCCACCGGAGAACTCAGGGCAGCCAGCATGCGAACAGTCTCTGCATTGAAGGCGCACTGCAAATTCAGAGAGTTCTGAAGCTCAGTGGTCGTCAGCTGTAACGCTTCCTGAACTCGATTTTTCGAACGCCAAAAATGCTTGGCTTTCCATTTCCCAACCTATACATTCTATAGCCCTCTACATTGTTACATATCCCTAATCTTAAAAGCTGGGTTTCAAGCTTTGCTTAGGAGAATATATAGCAATATGTGCATATCAGGGGGGATGGCTGAAACCTGAAGCATGATGAAATTGGAATTGCTCAATGCGAGAGACCTGAACGGTCGTGGTTGATAGATCCTGAAGATTGAAGAATCAGTTGAAAACAATACAAGGACTCCTTAGTTCTCTGTATATTAGGCAATCTTAGATATGTGTAATTTTTAAATCACATTATCAATAATATGTTGATTGTGACACGTCAAATATGTATACAGTACCTAGACCGAGACCCTCCAAGTACCCATAGCAATGGCAAAAAATGCCAAACAATATGGTGATCACATTGGGATAACACAGCCATTTTGAAGGCTGCGTGGAGGGTCTAGGTATTGTAAATACTGGCGCAGTTGGAGTTAATGACCAGAAGTTGGGAGAATGAGTATGATCCCTACAAAAATCTGCTGAAATCGCCAGACAAATCTATGGAACTGCAGCTCCAAGTTTCCAAGTACGGTACTTCCGGCAAGCTTTGGCTAGATCCACCGGATGGACTGGATGAACTCCGACCCAAACGGCTCAAAACACTCCACAACTGCACCATCTGAAGCAACACAGGAGCTTGCAGCGTAATGAGCTTTTGTAGCAGACTTTTGACCTTGAAAAATCAAACATGCTTTCTCATGGTTTCTCTCTTGAAACACCCCAAGATCTACCCTCTGGTAAATTAACATAGACCCTGAAAATAGCCTAGTTTTAATGGAAACTAATCTTCCAACCCCTATCTGCCAGGGTCTATGTTTATTTACCAGAGGGTAAGTCCGTGCTTTTTTTGGGGGGCGGAAGTCCAAAAAGGTCGAGCAAACCGGCCGAAGCACAGAGACTGGTGGCGCCACTTGCCGAGGCAGGAAGACATGTCGGTATGCCAGGAAGGCTGCTACCACCAGGGCTGCGACTCCGAGAAAAACTGCATACCAAATCGAGGTTGAATTCATTTCTGCACAGGGCCTTGTTGCCAGGGATTCTCAAACGACAATGGAAATCTTTGTGGGCTGATTACAGCTGCTTGATCTGCATGGAACAACAGAACTACTTTATGCACTCAGCATGAGGTCCCATAAATTCCATAACCTGCATTTCAAGCGGAAAAAACACCCAAATTTTCACCAGGTCACCTGCATCTTCCTGCTTTGGCCCAGAATCCAGCTGCACAAGTAGCACAAAGTGTCCCATCGTAACCCAAGCCGCACTGGTGATTGCCGGGACAACGTTCCAACTCACCGGGTGGCAGACACCTGTGAGCTTCTTCAGCGCTACGCTGCAGGCGTGTGAAACTGATCTCTGGCAACGCGCTTGAAGCGCTGACTCCCGAGGTGTTGCACTGCAGGTGCAGTTTGCTGCAGAGAACACAATCGCCCTTTATCAAGGCATGGTGCTTGTCGCATGAGCAGGTGCCATTGTGGAGATTGCCAAAATCACATTTGCAGTGCGCCAGTTTCGTGGAACCTTCCGGTGCTGTGCTGTTTGGAGGACACATTTTGCAAATGTCAAGACCCATTTCATCGCTGAACTGGTCAGCTGGACAGATCTGGCAGGTTGCTCCATGTCCATGCCATCCAGCTAGGCATTTGCACATCTCATCAGGCACGAAGGTTTCGGGAGCCACCTTCACCGTGCCCACCAGATCTTTACAGGCATAGCCCGCAAGATCATTTCGATGCGCATACATGTCCGTGGTCTTGACTTCTCCTTTTGCGAGCAATTGTGCTATCTCTTCTTTGTTGCTGAGATTTGTACCGGACAAATCAAGTATGATTTGGTGTTTCAAGGCTTCTGTCAACACTTTGGATGGCACGACAAGCTGAGAGTTTTCCCGCAACAACACGCGGCCGGAGTGGGGCAACACCGGAAGTCCATTCACCCCAGTGATGTTGTTGAAGGACAAATCTAGAATCACCAAATTGTCGGGCAAAATGAAATGCACATCTTCCAGTTCTTTCGCCGCGTTCAAATTGGTCAACTCTTTTGCCAGTTGTGGCACTACGCCAGAAATGCCTGCAGCAGCTGCCTTGATGGTGCTCAGTTGGGACATGGCCAAAGGTAGCAACAGGTTCTCGACCGTGTTGTTCACCGGACCTACCCATGGCACGGAGGGAAACACGGGGCAATTTAGAAAGATGCGGAGGCACGTGATGTTTAAGAACTGTTTAGCACATGTTTAGCCAACTAACTCTACAACTATATATGTATGTATCATATATATTTTCTTGCATATATTTACACCGTATATACCGACCTAGACAGGATATTGTCCTGACTACTCATTGATGCGTAAAGCGCCGGCACCAACGTGCATCAGTCTGGAAAGTTTTGTGGTGCCTGTACCCCAGGTGAACACCAAAATAGCTGGCAAACGGGCGCCTATCCACCCCAAATATGGTTTTTCATAGGTATTGATCCATCCACATCTAATTATATGGACAAACATCCCGCCGGGTTGGAAATGGGCCGAGTAAAAACAGCATTTTCATGTGACCGGCAAGAAGTCAATCATGCGTTTCGCAGTGTTTTTTCATGTTTTTATGTTGTCCATGAAGGTCAATTCTATTGTGATTTTGAATTTTCATTGGGATTTACTGTATATAGTTGACATGTCGGAGTGCGAAAAAGGTTCCTTTTGGAAGTCAGCGTGCCCAAAACCTCAGCGGCAGCCATTTTTTCCGGTGATCTCTACATCTTCGCTAAGTACGCACCTGTTTTCTCCAACAGGGCTTTTCCAACTACATTTGCCTCCCATCGCCACTGCCATGTGCGAACGTACGTCCAAATGAGGTCATTCAATTTTTGTTCGTTTTCTGGGCAAGATGTCAACTGATCGGGAACGGCTTTGATCATGCGCCAGCACGAGTCGATGGGAGTGCGCAAGTACGTGAACGTTATTGCCCCACCCCACCCCACCCCACCCTACCCCTGCGTGACGTGACACATCTTCAACGTAGCATGACGTGTGCGCACGTGCAAGTGAACGTGCCGTGGCGTAACATCATGGGAGTGCGCAAGTACGTGAACGTTATTACCCCACCAACCCCACCCACCCCACCCCTGCGTGACGTGACACATCTTCAACGTAGCATGACGTATGTGCGCACGTGCAAGTGAACGTGCCGTGGCGTAACATCATGGGAGTGCGCAAGTACGTGAACGTTATTGCCCCACCCCACCCCACCCCACCCCAAGGAACATATTTAAAAATGCCTAAAACGCTCGGACGGTTTTCAACCCGTAGGCACAAACATATATACATATATATATATTATATACCATTATATACCAAATTAACATGGACCCTGAAAATAGCACAATCGAAAATCATGGATTACAATTTTCCAACTCCCCATTTGCCAGGGTCCCTTTGTTATTTCTTATGCTGGTACCTGAATTTGGCGCAGCGGAAGCAAATATGATCTGGAAAATAGAGGGGCCGGTTTCTTATTTATTACCCTCAGGTAAACAAACAGTTTGCGATTGAACATGGCCCAGTCGAAATAGTTAATTTACCCAGCTACACAGCATGGTGATTTTCCATTGTTTTTTGTATGTTTACCAGAGGGTATCATCATGTATCATCTATATCTACATATTTATTGCTTGTTCAAAAGGATCCCTCAATGAATATCATCAATATTAGACACCCCCGACGCCTCCGGTCCCAGGTATATGTGGTTTCCAACAAAAACCCATGGGTTTCGTTCGGGGTCTTTAAAGTGATCAACAGTCAATTTCATGACATACCCTCCAATAACAAACGTGGCTGGAAAATCTCAAACATGGAAGGTTATAACTGGGAAAAATCATTGTCATCTACATGAGTCTAGGATTTCACAGCCATGTTTGATTTCCCATGAACCTACAAGGTAACTACAGGGTATACCTACGCCAAAGTGCAATGTGTGACATCCAGCTCCTTCAACTTTGGGAAGAGGCGCAATCGCCCGCCCGTCCAATGATCTTTCAGGCGCTCGAGCTCTTCTCCGACAGGAACGAACTGCACCGAAGTCTTTCGAAGCTGCAAAATGAGCAAATCTTTACCTTGAAGTTGGGGATCCCAAACATATAGACATACATCAACATTTGTTGGAATATAAATATATATATATTTATGTATGTATAATGTCTCTAATAGTATATAATTATATCTATATATTTTATAATTATATAATGTACATTTTTTAGGGGAAATATGGTTTAAAAATGTTTAAAATCCGTATCTTGATTCATAATTCATAACTCATAACCACATATGTTCCGTAAATACCCTTTCGCTATTCCGAAATATACATTTATTTTTGGCATCAAACTCATGGAACATAGAATCTCAGTTGCCAGGTTGCACTTGCTTCTCCAGCTGCTATCTACCCAGCCACTGACTGAGGTATAGGACAGGTCCACTTCTTTGAGAATCGGAAAGCGCGTCAACGAGGACAACCGGCCTGTGATGTTGGTGCGGCCAAGCTTCAGATGTCGCAATCGGCGCTTGCTGATGGACTCACTACTATACCTTGGTCGTGGATCCCATGTCATGTGACTCAAGAATCAAAGCCTACACAAACTACACTGAAACTACGCTTTTTACACTTCACACATCTCCACACTGCCTGCAGTCAACAAAGCCTACAATCCACATGCACAAAACACCAAGGGACAAGGTTTCATGGCACCAAAACCTAGCCCGGGACAATGTTGTGTGCAACTTTTTGGGGATGGACCTTATGGACCTGATGGACCATGAATGATTCGCCTTTTTGAAACCACCCTGAAAGAAAGGTGGATGTTTGTGCCCTTTCGACTTATTGCGAACATGTTTGCACTTTACCATACTTTATCTGAACTCGATTTGGTTGGAACAAAAGAAATCGATGAAAATCTGCGGTGAAAGCCCCAGAAACCAATCGACATCTCCAACTAAGCTCTGCAAGTCTCCCGAGATTGCTGTGCCGCTCAAATCCAGCTCTCTTAGCTCCATGCGAGCTAAACTCTGCAGATTTCCCGAAATCTTGGTATCCGCCAACAGCAACCTCTCATTTTTGGGCTGCAAACACCGCAACAAATCATCAGCTTCTCTGAGAGGCACTACACTCACTCTCTGAGATCGTCACAGTCATATGGGGTCGTTGTCACGTCTAAGAATGGGTAGGAAATTGTTTGGGGATTTTTTTTTTTTTAGTTTGGGGATTTT